AAATTCCACAGTTTTTTTTTTAAAGCCAGTGCACCGAGAAGTTTTTTAAGGTCGTGGTTGCTCTTACACTTTTCTTTCACCCTTTTGATACTGCAGATGATGCTGTACCATTAACGGATACAGCAACACGTTCTGTGCTAACTGTTGTATGCGAGACAAGTGCCTGCGCTACACAGTGTTCTCACAGGAAGGGCTTGCATCAGTTAGCTTTAAGAGGCTGAAAATAAGCATTTCAAGATTTTGAAGTGGATCTGCCAATTGTGGGTTTATGCTCTTGATGTGTATTTAAATTTTCCCCTCTAGAATGAATTGCAGCGATCCGTCATCACTCCTACCTCAACTCGGTCCCTGCCTCTGCGTGTGCATCAACTCAAATTTAGGAATTAAATTTCTGTGGTGATGGAAAAACACTTTGTGATAGCTACAATTAGCACTCTCTTCTTCTGTGGGGAATTTTTAGAAGAAAAGTAGGCGTTCATCAGGGGGAGGGAATGAGGGAAGGACCCATATCATTTCTTGCAGTCTGTGCCTGCAGATTTCTTTTGGAGTGCAATTAACACTCAGTGTGTGTGCGTGCATGTGTGTAATGAGGTAAATGAGACAACCACTGGGGATTCCTACTAAATGCATGTGCAGTATTTTTCCTAGATGTTTCTCCAAAGTATTTCATAATAACTTTTATGAGGTCTTATTGTTTTTATTTTTTGGTGGGGTTTTTTTTGTTGTTTTTGTTTTTTCTCAAATGTATATTGAGCATTTCAGTAACTGGAGCTAAGATTAAATTGTCTTTCCATTACAATTTCTGGAATTTTCACTTCATAAACTATCTCTAAATAAGAGTTGGCTGCTTCAGTTGACTGTACAAAAAGTGAAAACTAAGAGTACCACCCTCCACCCGCCAAGTGTCCCTAAACACTGTTAGGTTCTACGCCCCTACTGCCCCATCCCTTTCTGATCTCAGGTCTGAAACTGTTTAGAATTGATATGGGGGAGGCAGTTTTTCAGGGAACTTTTAGCAAATACACCACCGTGTGTTTTAACCGTATGTTTTAATAAGTTATAGATCAGACAAGAACACAATTGAGCAGTAGTGATTGGAAGTGAAAATGAGCTGGAAATTCATAGATAGTCTGTAAATTGGAATGAGATTTTAAAAGCACCTTAGAGCCAACATTGCCAAAGGTATGTAAGTGTGTCTTACAGATCTGGGAACGTGGTGATTATTAAGGTACAATGGATTTCTTGCTCATAAGTCTTATAGATGTTGTTTTCTCCTATGCTATGGGCAGATCAGCCTGTGCAGTTTATTGTGCTTCTCTTAAGCTTTGTTGCTAACACTCTAGCTTTTATCATTTGGGACTTTCATTTTGAGTTTGGCTGTTGATTTATAGGATAATGCCTGAAGTTTACCATATTCATACCATATTCAAAGCTTTGGAATAAACCTCATAAAAGGGCTGGATCCCTTCCATCCCCAGATGGAAAGAAATGCATGAGGCCAGCGGAGTCTGCTGTTGCACTTCCTTATGAATGATACCTTTGCCTGAAGGTTAAAGGTTGATTGTGCTTAGTTTTGGGTTGTATACAGTAACAGCCTGACCCAGAATTTAGAAATCCATGGTATTGGCTTTTTGTTGCTTCTTGTCTGTGCTGTGGACAGAAGAAGATCTGTTAGCAAACCTCCAGCATGGCAAACAGATATGTCACCTGCTTAGTTGCACAGCCTTCAGAAAAAAGTAGTTCTAATCTTTGTTTTTGCCATTACTGTGTGGTACCACTAAGCTATTCTTCTCTTTGAGGGTGACATTGAGATTCACAATTCCTGATATTCCTCTGCGATCCAGAAAAACATTGTGTAAGCACATGTCCCCTTCTCTGTGATTGTTTGCTCCATCCACAGTAATAATTTTCTTCTTTAGTGTAAGAGGAATCAGTGGTTTTGCAATAGGCTTATAGATATGATACAAGAACATTATTGTGGCATGCCCAAGACTCAAAGGTTGGGAAGGAGAGGAGAGGAGAGGAGAGGAGAGGAGAGGAGAGGAGAGGAGAGGAGAGGAGAG